GCTAGTGCAACCACTTTGGAAAATATTATGGAGGCTTCTTAAAAAACTAAACATAGATCTGCCATATGATCCAGCAATCCCACTCCTAGGGATATACCCTAAGTAATGTGACTCAGGTTACTCCAGAGGCATCTGCACACCCATGTTTATTGCAGCATTATTCACAATAGCCAAGTTATAGAAACAGCCAAGATGCTCTACTACTGATGAATGGATTAAGAAAATGTGGTATTTATACATATTTATACACAATGGAGTTTTACTCAGCCATGAAGAAGAATGAAATTTTGTTATTCTCAAGTAAATGGATATAACTGGAGAACATAATTCTGAGCGAGGTTAGCCAGGCTCAGAAGACCAAAAATTGTATGTTCTCCCTTATATGCAGACTTTAGATCTAGGGCAAAGGCAGCAATGTTGCTGGACTTGGGTCACATGCTAAGGGGAGAGCACATACGGGAGGAATGGGGATAAGTAGGAAATCCAAAACTTGAATGTGTTTGATGTCCCCACTGCAGAGGAGCTGATACAGTAACCTTAAAGCAACAGAGGTCATTATGGGAAGGTTACTGGGAAGTAGTGAAGAGGTCAGGTAGAGATGAATCAGTTCAGGTTGTAATACACTTGTGCTTGGAAGCAATGCTAGGAATCTCTCTGTATAGCTATCCTTATCTCAACTAGCAAAAATGCTTTGTCTTTCTTATTATTACTTATGTCTTCTCTTCAACAAAATTGGAGAAAAGGGCAGAACAGGTTCTGCCTGGAAGTGAGGGGGGCAGGGGGAGAGAGGGAGGGGGAGAGGGGCAGGGTGAGAAATGACCCAAACAATGTATGCATATATGAATATATGAATAAAAATTATTTAACAGTTAGACAAATATTTAACAGGACTAACAAGAGAGCTAGAAATGGCTTAGAGAAACTCTATATTTATCTCTGGCTATGCACGTGTAGAAAAGACCTGAGATGATCCCATGGGAAGAGAAACCTGACAACTTGCAAACCACCTGAGCTTTGAATGTGCCAGCACCCACACTCACACAGAGATCCATGGACAAGACAGAAACTGATGATTGAGTACTTCTGACAAATCACTAACTGGCCCTTAAGCAAAACAGTCACAGAGAGATCTCTAAGAAGCAAGGCTAATTTACAAAAATAAATTGAGCAGAGGTAGCAGGAAAAACCAGATGGGTGCTTAGCTGAACTCTGAGCAAGTTATTAAAACAAAACATAACAAGTACACAAAAACAACAATAATGAAATTCAAGGAGAAAATATAGAATTCAGGGTTATTCCAAGTTATTTTAAGTCTCCAGTTTTTAATTTAAAAATTATGATATATGCAAAGGAACATGAAAACATGACACAAACATAATCAGTAAAAACTGAGTGTACCCAGATGTTGGATTTAGCAAACAAAGATGTCAAAATAGGTATTATAAGAATGTTGAAAGAATTTTCAATCCCCTTTTAAAGAAATGAAGGATACTACACTGACAGTGAATAAACAGAAATCTCAATAGAGAAAACTATAAAGTCAAATCAAATAGTCATGAGATGAAACACATAATTCACTAAGTTGGTGAACAGCAAATTTGAGGTGGCAGGAAAAACTACTCAACTGAGTTGAAGATGAACCAATGAAAATCGTTCAGTCTGAAGAACAGAGAAGACAAAAAGATTTAAAAAATGAAAACAGCATGAGGCATTACTATGCTTCCAAAACAAATGTGTACTCCAGTCCCTACGGAAGAGAACAGAGGATCAGTAAATATTTTTTTAAATGATAGTTCATAAGCTCCCAAATCGTTTTCTGGTTGATTTGGTTGGGTGTGGTTTGGTTTGGTTTTAAGACAGGGTCTTGGTAGGTTGCCCATCCTGGTCTTATACTCCTGGACTCAAGTGATCCTCCAACTTCATCCTTCTAAGTAGCTCACTGTGTCCAGTTAAAACTTCTCAAATTTGATGGGAAATGAAAGTTTCATGAATAAGTAAGAAAAGCAGAATTATATCCATGTATAACCACATCACATTTGAATTACTGAAAGACAAAAGGAAATACTGAAAGTAGTAAGAGAAAAAGGAAGCCCTATGTAAAATACAAAAACAATATAACTAACAGAAATGATGGAAGCCATATACAGTAGGATGATATAATCAAACTGCTTAAAGGAAAAAAATATATAAAATCTGAAGGCAAAGAAAAAATATTCCCAGATAAACAAAGATTCAGTGAAGTCTTTGGTAATAAACCAAAGGACACAAGAGCAACTAGGGATGTTCTTCAGATTGAAAGGCTACAAAATCAGAGTCAAATATACAGGAAGAAATAAGAGGCCAGCAGTGGTAACTATGTGGCAAATATAAAACACTATAGAAAAATGAAAAGTACCCTGTGTTGTAGGGTTCATAACATATGTAATATGAAATGCATGGCAATAAGAGCACAATAGAGAAGAAAGAAAATGGAACATTTTCCATTTTCACCCATGAAATATAGCAACGTTTTATATATTTTACTAGAATGAAATCAATATTAATCTAAGAACTTGATAATTAAGATACATCTTGTAGCTTCTAGAAAAATAATTTTTAAACCCTAAAAAATATAGTTTGTACAATCAACATGGAGGAATTTAATGACACACTAAAAATATTTGCTTGACATTAAACAAAAAAAAGGAGTAGAAGAGCAAAACAATGAGACATAAAGAAAAAACAAAATAGTACATAAAATACAACCACAACAATTATATTAAAGTTAAATAAACACTCCAATCAAAAGACAGAGATTGTCAGATTAGATTAGAAAGCAAGCTCGAACTATGTGCTGTGTTACTGGAAACTTCTCAAAGACCATACATAGTTTCTGAATAAAAAAGGGACGAAGACAGTAGTCTTCAAACAGTAAGAGAGCCATCCTGACTACAATAACCCCAGGAAAAACAGACTTTAATAGAAGAATACCACTCAGGACAGAGTGTGATATTTCCTAAAAGTAAACAAAAATGTGAATGTAACAATCATGAAAACATACATATCTAACAACAGAGCCCAAAATAACTATAGCAAAAACTGACAGAATTGAGGGGTGGAAAAGACACAATTATATTTGGTCTCAATAACCCACTTAAACCAAGTAGATAATTGGAAAATATGAATAATATCTCATATCTTTATTAAGTCAAATGGATCATTGGTATCATATAATATGAATGTCATTGTTTTCAAACACTTACATTAGAAAAGAAAAAAGATCATAATTAAAACTCTCAATGAACTAGGAATATAATGAAAATCTAAGAAAGGACATGTAACAAACCCTACAGTTTACAAGAACTGCACATTTCCCTCTAAGACAAGCAATAAGGCAAGGGTGACTGCTTCTAGCCAATGCAATAAGGCAAGGAAAAAAATAAGACATCCACTCTGGAAAGAAGCATGTAAAACTGTCTTTATTCTCAAACAACAAAATTCTGTAAGAAAAAATATCTTGAAGACCCTACAAAAAAAGCTGTTGAAACTAATACATAAATTTAGACTAGAGGATGAAAACATGGTCACAATGGATAAAATTTAGTAAGTCAGATTTCATCAAAATCAAAATGTTTGATTTTTAAGAGATGGTATTTTTAAAAATGAACAGATAATTCACAAAATGAAGATAAATTTGCAAGTTATACATTTAATAAGAATATGTATAAAAAATAATGAACACTTAAGATAAACATTCCAATTTTAAAATAGGCAAAAATTTCAATTAGTATATGACTAAAGACGACATAAGGATGTAAAATAAGCACATGGATGTATGCTAAATGTCATTATTCACTATAAAACTGCAAATTCTGATCACTACCAGACACTACACAGCACCAGCATGACTGTAATCAGAAATACTGGTGACATCAAGTGTTGGCAAAGATGTAGAGAAACTGGGATCCTCAACGCAGGGCCAATGGATATGGCACAGGCATACTGACAGATGTATGGCAGTTTCTCAGTAAAACATAAAGTGACCATAAGATTCAGCAATTTCACTCTTAGTATCCACCCAAGAGAATGAAAATATATGTCCACACAAAGACTTGTGCATGACTATTCCTAACAGCATTATTTACAATTATTACTATAAGCCAGGCCTAATATTTTATTAACTGATAAATGGATAAAATTTGTTATATCCATACAATGGAGTGTTATTCAGTGACAACAATGAATGGAAAATGGATATATGCTATATGGATGAGCCTCAGAAACACTTTATGAGGTAAGAGAAGCCAGGCCAAAAGATTACATTACTAGAAAAGGCAAATCCACATTGATGAAAGCAAATCATTGCTTGCCTGGACTAAAGGGTAGAAGGAGAAAATAGGTTGAAAAGAGACATGAGGGACTTTCTAAGGTGACAGAAATGCTCTAAAACTGGATTTGGGCAGTGGTTGTACAAGTCCACAATTTGCTAAATATCACTGAATTTTCACTTATAACATGGTCCTTACTGACAATTAGATTGTCTCAGTAGCTACCAAAATATGCATTTATGTGTGCTACCTTAAAAAAATTAAATGTGTATTTCTGTTGCTTCTATGAAAATGGAATAATGAATATGTGTAGGAGAAAGGGGAATCTTTATCTTTATTCTCTACCACATTGACAATTTGCTTCTACCTGTTACTCCCCTATGTAAAGATCTCTTAGCAAAAGTAACTGAAACCCTAGGGAGCTAAGAATGTAAAGCAAAGATGCACTCTGGCAACCGTTCTTCACTCACGAGGATTCATAATCAACCAGGAGACGGCATGAGCAGTAGTTCCCTATACACAAACTGATCCCAGCTCTCAGGTATTATATTCATCAAAGGATTCTAGCTTCCTAGCTTGGATATGCTTAAAGTTATCTCATAAACAGTTTTTTACACATTGATGCTCTTCCTTATTTCTTACTGGCCATATCAACAAATATCAGCATATGCTAACATACAAACATACACTTACCAAAAGAAAGGTCCGGATTGTTCTTATTTTGTTAAGTTCAAGAAGCAATTTTTGTGCCTTCTCATGGTTACTACAATATTCATCATAGATACGAAACTTGTCCTTCTGTGAATTTAAGACAGAATAGTCACTGTATTACAATTTTGAAATTTTAGAGTCATTTTATTTACCACGTTGAAATTTTAACCTATGTGACATGCATAAATAAAATCAGTGAAGTGTTTACTATGCTTCAAGAGCTATACTGTGTGTATATATATTTATATATATTATTTATTTCCCTGATCTATAAAGTAAAGCCTAGAAAAAGCAGATAAACATATATTAACGATACTCCAATATGATGAATGCAATAATGTAAGTACACCAAGATTGGCAAAGGAGACAGAAGAGAATACTTAGCTTTGCCATCGAATTCAGACACAGCTTTTAAAAGATGTTACTTCCGTGCAAGGTCCAGTGGGTAAATCTATGATTCCCAGTCAGAGAGAGAGAGGAGAATGTCATTTTAGACAGAGGGAAAAGCATGTGACAGATCATATGGGAAGAGAAAGCATACAGCCCTACAGTTCATGTCACACCAATCTGGATATTCTGTTTAAGAGGGACATTGACTAACAGGACACTATAGGCCAACAAGAGTATGAGATAATGACAGACCCCAAAACCATGACATCTGAGAGGTCATTTTAGAGAGAGATACCTGTTAGTATAGAAAAGTCAGAGAATAGAAGCTACTTTCAAATCACTGTCTTATTGTAAAATATGGAAAATTCTCTGTGGCTCTTAAACATAACACTAGGACCATTAGGTGGAAATTACAAGAGCAGTGATGGGCAGATGTGGGATCAATATAGAGTTCCGCTAACAATCAGAGCTACTGCTAAGAGTGACCAAGTAGGAACAAAACAGTCTTGATGGATGGGTATAGGAGATTCCGTCAAAAGAGGAGAAATTTCACTATCATGATTCTAAGTTCCCTTCCATCTGTAAGATTTTTCCGAAAGTGGCCATAATCAAGAGCTATCAAAGCAGTGCCAATGAAAGAGAAAGACACAAAAGACTGATCAAGTATTAAAATAGAAGTGTGCTCTGCAATTTCAAGGTGCACGCATTGAGAAACATGAAGTGCTATGTAATAAAGCCAGCAGAGAATATACTGAATTACTTATCTCAAGAGATGGGATGAGCCAGAAAATAAAATGTTCAGAAATAGTTTAGCTAAATTCAGGGATGACAGACTCATCAAGTGTTACTAAGGAAGTAAGTGTCAGGGTGCAAATCCCCATGTGCAGTCCTGGCTGAGACAGCAACTACTCCAGCTGGCAGAAGATTCTGACTCTTTGGAAAAAGGAAACAGGCTTGAGTAAGTGGTACAAACACCCATGGCTCCCAGCCCAGCCCAAGAAAGGCACAGCTTACATTTCCTGCACCCAAGGAGCCTCTCCCTTTAATATAATTATCTTCATAAAATATTTTCTCACCACAAAAATCACATGGAGAACTTGTTCTTCACATATAGATAGATGTAGAAACTACATATAGAAACCTTTATAAAAATCTAAAGGGAAAAATATAAATACACAAAGACAAATTTCTGTGACATAACACTCTCACGCATGTTTTAGGCAATGCGTTAATGTGTATGCAGCATTTTCAAACTGATATTCTAATAATTGGCATCAGTGGAATGGTGTAACAGAATTCTTATGTGTTTTCTTTTGTTAGTGTGACTGCCTTTTAGTTGTGAAAATAATTTTCACTATACAGGTGACTTCTTACTTTGCAAATCGATTTCATGAATCATTTCAGGTATCGTATATAAAGACTCAAAAATGTTCAAGCAGGCACAGGTTGTGTAATTTGAGACACAGAGCACTGACTCCTTGCTTCCTCTGCACTGCTTGGTACCACCTGCTGAGATGCCACCCTAAGGAAAATTCAGTCCCCCAACACCAGGTTTGTTCACCTCCAGGTTTGTCATAAGCCAATTAACAAGGGAACATTCTCACTAATAAAAGGCTCGTCATGCCATTATAAGAGTGAGGATTTTCTGCTTCAAAAGAAAAATGTCCTATGTTTGAGAGAAACATAAAAAATCCATTCATTTTGAACAGCTGAATATTCATTAGAATTCAAGCTACAGGGAATACGAAGAACGAACTTGTCGGGAAAAAGAAAAGACTGTTTATTCTTCACTGAGTAAATGGATGATGTGAGGCACCCTCCCCATTTTTGGCTCCAAATACAAGATTTCATTGGCCTTAAAAAACCCCAAACTTTCCGCATCAGATTCTACTTCTAATGCTAAATTCACAAATATTACTATGCCAAGAGTGATCACTTTAAATCTAGGGGGAAAGAGCTTTTAAAACAAACAGAAAAGAATTATCCTACAAAATGAAGAAAGCAGGTTCCCACTTCTTGTTGAGCATTAGGTTCAGGATGTAAGCATTCTTCTACAACTTTTAGGAACTCTTTATGCACAGCCAGGATATCTTCAATGTTCGAGAACAACATCTGTAAAAAGAAAATAAATAAATGTGTAAGTGTAGTAATGAAGCAATTTTTTAAAGTCCATGAGAGTACGGTATTCTCTCTCCAAACTGAACACTTCAGTGGACAGCTACCCCATGTTCATTCCTTCCTCTCGCCTTGTTGGCAAATATCCCACTTTGTCAGACCGTTCCTTTCCCATACAACTTTAGGTCCAGAACCCTATGTCTCCTTCTCAGGGCAAAGCCTGAGTGACCAAGTCCAAGCAGGATATCCCACCCGCTTCCCAGGATGGGCTGCATGCATGCAGAACTGTAGGCAGACAGGAAGAAGGTTGTCTTTGCTCCTAAGAAAAGCCTCCTGGAATGAACGGTCCTCTTATTTCCTCTGGAAGGTGCCACATGTGTAGAATGCAACCATGGGAGGAGCCAGCTCAGGAGCAGTGATGAAAACCTGGATGGCAGAGGGAATCTCTAAAGAGGATCGAACACCTTGTTGACGCTCCCCAGATCACCTGGGCAGAACCTATACTTCTATGTGGAGTACCTGATTTGTGAGTGAAGGTGTGTTTAAGTCCATTTGAATCACAAGATACTTTAGCTTGCAGCCAAAAGATCCCTGACTAAAATATTCCCATGGTAGGAAAATTTGAAAGTTAGGAATTTAACTTATGAGGGAGTAGACTCAGAAAAACCTTAAAAAACTCATTAGGTTTTTTTTGTTGTTGTTCAGTGAAATAAAGCAGGAAGCTGACTTCATCAATACCAATGATGATTTACACAATTTTAATGAGTAATTAATTCACAATAATTAAATTTTAATTTACCATTCTCTCTTTTTTCAAAATTTTCCCTTCTATACGTGTGTGTGTGTCTATGTGTGTGTGTGAAAGAACCTCGCACATGCTAAGCACTGCTCTGCCACTGAGTTATATCCCTAGTACCTTTCCCTCCATTTTACAAGAAAAAAAGGTATTTACACATCTGTTTCTATGTGGAAGATATTATGTGGACTTTATTTTCAGCACCCCACTGAATCATCCAAATCTTATTCTTTAGCGATTACAGAGATGGAAGGCACGTCTACCACATCCTGCTTTCTTGAACCACCTCTAGACATCATCTGATACCTCATTTAACTTCCTCCCTCTCATAGGCACTACAGTCTTATTTCTTAAGTTTATTTTTCTTCTTCTTTAAAAATGTTTCCAAAAACTTGGTAAAAACATTCACTATGACTCGTAAGCCATGCTCTTATCCTTCTTTTCTTTATCTAAATCCTAGTTTCCCTTTTCAAACTATTACTGACACAAGTGACTAGCACAGAAACTTGTAGGGGAACTGAACAGATAAACTGAGGGTTCTGAAGAACATCTCACAGATGAAATTTTACCTATGGGGAACCCGTGCTTGAATCAAAAGCCAGTTGTATCTCCTTACCTTCACTGTTTCCTCTGTAACATTTTTGTCCACTTTTGCTGCTGCACACTGATTCATTCGGTGTAAGAATGCCTGCGTGAAAAAAGAGAAAATGTATGAAAATAACATTAGCTTCACAAAATTACTGGGCATTGATCAAGATTAAATTAATTTTTATAAGAAACCAAAGTTTAAAAATCTAATAGTTGAGTATGACAGTTAGGTTGTGATATATGAAGCCTTTGTGCATTGCTATTTCTACCTGAGATTATACTTCCTTTATGATGTTGAGACAGAGCCAAAAATAATCAAGTGTATATAAATTAAATTTATCCGCCAGACTCTCAGAGTTCTGGGGTAAACATTTAGTCAGGTGTTTCCTAAACTTTGAAGTGTTACAAATCACAAAAGATGAAAATCTAATGAAAAATAATACTTCTAATAAAAAACCAAAAGGACCAGAAATTCTGAAGTGACTCCTGAGAAGTCAGAGAGTCAGAGAGAGACACATACATATGCCCATACACTTGACACAACTATTTTCAGGTAGGACCTTCACATCGAAATAGAATGAATGAAAGAAATTTCTTTTCCCATTTTCACTCCCACCCCATACACATAGACACACTTTTAGGAAGCCAGAACTTAAATTTGTGGGTTCAACTCAAGGCTTTTCATGCACATTAGTATTTTGAAGATTGACACGTGAGCTGGGGATGTAGTTCACTAATAGACACTTGCCTAACATGCAAAAGGCCTTGAGTTCAATCCCAACACCACATAGAAAAAGAAGATTGAGACTTCTCAGTGATTAGTAAGCTTTGGCTGGTGGCTAGAGTAGAATTTAGTTACATTGAGCCCTAAAAGAAAAAGGTTAAAAAGAGAAGGAAATGGGCAGAAGATGGGGCAGGAGGATTGCAAATTCAAGGCAATCCTGAGCTAATAGGGAGACCTTATCTGAGGGGAAAAAAAAGCCATAAAGGAAGAAAGGGAAGGAAAAAGGGAGGAGAGGGGAAAAGAAAAGAGAAAGGAAGAGAGTTTTGATCCTGCAAATTTGTCTTGTGTACTCAAGACATCATCTGTTAACTACATGTAAGGTCATTCCTGGGGCTGGAGATGCTGTGCAACTGTGCTGTGCTTGCGGGAGGTCCTGCGTCAGATGCCCAGCAACACGAAAGGAAGAGATCATTCCTCCCCTTTTCTGCCTTAAGAAGTCTGCCACTGCTTTCTAACTCAGGGTATGACTCCCCAGGACACACAGAAGTACCAAGGAATATCTGGCTATTACATTAAACAAATTAAAATTAAGATAAGAATTAAATCATTGACATGTTATATTTATAAAGATTTAAGACATTAGTGAAATCTTACAAACACTTAAGAGATTAACAAAACCAGAGATCATTCAGCGTGTTCCAAATTATCACCCTCAACTCGTTGCTAGTAAGAATATAAATTGGCATATTTCTGACAACAAGCAGATAGTGGATCTCAAACTTTTAAATGGGCATTTCTCTTAACCCAGCAATTCCTCTAGAAGCTTATCCTACAAAAATATTGTAACAAAGGTTTTCACACTGTTGATTTCAACAGTAGAAAAACTGGAAACAACCTAAACCCCACCAATAGGGAAACATTAAACATGTTATGGTGCACTCAAACGGGAATGCTACAGGAAAAGTACAGTCACGAATGGATGGGATGGGAAAGCAATATATATATATACAAGTACATATGACAGAAGTTGATAAAATATTATTTGGCAAAAATAAAAACGTATCAGGTGGTATACCTGACTACACAAATGTACGTGTGCTACCCTGAAAGAGTGGCTTAGGTGGTACAGCACCTCCCCAGCAAGCACGCAGCCCTGAATTCAAACTCCAGTTCCACAAAAAAAGTACACACACACGTATAACATCAGTGCAAGCTCATACTGAAAAAAAAATAGGTAGCATATACCAAACTTTCAACAGCAGTTACCTCCAGGTGGTAGGAGGAGATCTTTGTACACTTATACACTTTATTTTCAGAATATTTGGCTGTGAGCCTGTCCTAACTTTTGTAAAAAACTATTTCAAGGAACCAAACAAAAGAGCCACAAGATCTCATGCCTAGCATGACCTTCAGCATCTTCTGGATTCCCAATTCAACCAGTTAACATTCCAGACTCTAAAACCACAGTCACATCAGAACTGATAGCTCGACTCTTTAAGATCAGCTGAAATAAATAAAAGGAACAAGTAGTATTGGATGGAACATTAATTTTTTTATTGGGAGCCACTGATAAGATTGCTTGAATTATTGTCTGAACTTCTGTATAGTTAGCCATGACAAACAGAGAGTTTGAATTTTCTGACTCTAACTACCCATTTTAATTAGTATTATTCTGTTCAATTTTTTATTTCAGCCTTGTTTTTCTTGAGTATTTTCCAAATGTTCATACCAAAAATGCTCCTTAGTTCTTCCTATTTACTTTTAAAATAACATGGATGGTTGACTTGCCTTGTTTGCATTTCATGTTGACCACATAGTAAACAGGTAACTTCTCATGTAAGCAAAACTTAAACCTCACCTCTACGGTTATAAACCTTTTCCTCATAAACAGAATGCAATCACATTCTGAAACCAATAAATTAAAGCTAAGAAGTAATAAAATGGAGTCAAAATATGAGTTAGAAGAGAACATACAAACTAACAAAATATACCACATCTTTTCTGACATTTTATCTTCTTATTCTCCATGACAATATAGAACATTTTGTTTAACTGCATACAAAAGAAAACCTGGAAGTTACTAAGATTTCTGACCAACTATTTATTTCCCCCATGGGCCTCATTTTATACAACACTGAAGGCAGATTTTAGTTGGTTTGCTGAGAGTGTACAATCATGAAAACTGACATATTTTATAAAATGTTTAAATCTTCCTTCCTGAAGATAAAAATAAATACATATTTTCAAAATCATCCTTTAACAACCAGTCCCTATAGAGTCCTTTCAGACTTTAGTAATTGAGCATTTAATCCTTCTCCTAGCAACCAAGGATGCTTAGTAACCCAGTCACAAAAATATGCAAGGGATTTCATGCACTATTTTACTTGCATTTATTCATTCTCACTGATGCAGAATTTCATCAGAATTAGATAATCTTCACCTTGACATAAATATATTTGAAAATAAGCCCTAGAAAATAGCTTCTAACGCCAGTGATTTTCAAACTTTTTATTGTGTTTAAAACTTGGAGACTCTACATGCAGAGTCCCAGCCCTATTCCTTGAAGGTGTGATTCACCAGATTGTTTTAAGAACCAGAAATCTGCATTCTGAGCAGGTCCTGTTGGTGATTCTGAATATCAATCAAGAAACCACTTCCTGGTGGACATTCCTTCATGTTTATTCTTCCAAAGACTGAAAAAAAAAAAAAAAAACAAAGATTTGAGAAGCAAGTAAGTGATTCTTAATGGGAAAAACAGGTTCACATGTTTCACCTTGAATTTCAACTTAATGTCAAATAATGGTTCTCTCTGTATATTACCCTCTCAGCCAGCCACTGAGAGTTTTTGGTAGCTGGCCAGAGGATGCTCCCCATTGTGAAAATCACAATAAGGACTATGTAAGGTGGCCATGATAATGTCTGAAGGTAGGGAGACAAAGGATGAGTGACATTTGGAGAAGGTGATGCTTGCAGATTCCTCTCCAAGGACATTTGACCTTGCCTAGGTGTCAGCAAAGAACTCAGTTCACCAGCATTTCCGTAACAGTGCCTCCACACAAGCTTCTAGGTACCACTCTAGTCATGGACCACTTTTTTCCCATCAGTGAGCAGAACTCTTGCTCCATGTTCTTTCCCTTTTATCATGTATTTGGTAAAGCATGTATTAAGGGGCATACACTAATTAAAGGTTAATAACAATAAAAATGTCCAAATTCTCTACCAAGAGATCAAAAGAAGGTAGAAACTCACTAACATGGAAGAGGAAGGTGGCAGCAATCTCTTTTCTCCTTGTTCACCAACCTGTGCCCCTATAAATATTCCACATCTAGAATCATCTTACCACCACACTGTCATCTTGAAATGCAACTTCTTACTATGGACAGAGGTGAGTACACTTTCTACATAAAGATGAAAAGGGCAAATTTCCAAAAGGACTGCACCATTGCACAAAAATATACTTGTTTTATGAAACAAATTTTATAAAAACAAGAGTAAATAGTTTCCTTTTATCTTTTAAACTTACAACAATACTATCATATCACAATTCTTTGGAAGGTAAGTGTTTTGTTCTGAGACGGAAAACAAAGTCTTAGTAAATCTTAGTAAATGAAAAGTTTGTCATTTGAGAGTTCTCCTTGGACATCTGGTTGGTAACTGGTGATCTTGACCAAAGCAGTCCCAATGGGGTAGGCTGAGGAGGAAATGGAGCGTAAGGAAATAGAGCCAGTCACCACAGAAAAATGCTAAAGAATTTTTACCAAGAGCCAGAGCAAACTCAGGAATTGGATTTGAATCTAGGGATGGTTTATGTTTTTAACTGAAAAACACTACAGCAATTCATCCTTTAAGCTGAGTATCCCTTATCTGAGATACTAGGGACCAGAAGCATTTGGGATTCTGGATTTCTTCAGATTTTGAAATATCTGCATATACCTAGTAAGCTATCTTGGGGATGGGACCAAAATTAAAACAGAAGATGGATTTACATTTCATATATACCTTATACACATAGTCTAAAGGTAACTTTATGCAATGTTTTTGATAATTTTGTGTGGGAGTTTTCACTATGATGTCACGTTGGGGCTTAAAAAGTTTTGAATTTTGGCTTAATTCAGATCTTGGATTTTCAGAAGAGGGATACTCACCTGTATTAGATTCTCTTCATATAGTTTTTGTGACTGGTTTCTGACCTCTTCAGTCTACTGAATGTCACCCTTGCCTGTACACCTATTGATCCCCAATCACTTGAATAGAAATTCTTCTGTTAATATGAAAAAGTAACAGGTACATATTCACATATTATGATGCCAATATCTGTAAAGTACTTGGGAAAAAACCAACAATATTTATGCTATGCACCAGGCATTGCTCTTCAC